CTAGGGATGTAACGATATATCGAATATCGCGATATCGCCGGTTAATAAACGTCTCAATCCCGTGAGACTGATAAAATGTACCGTGATTTTTATTAGAAACCTTTATTGAAGCAGGTGGTCCTGTTGAGATCATGGATCTCTTTCTCAAGAGAGACCTGTCCAACATGGCAGCAAGTAGGTTACAACATGAACACAAAACAACAGATAACACAAAAGGACAGGGCTACATGTACACACCCTCGCCCTGTCAATGAGCCTCACCTGCTTGGCAACACCTGTATTGTGTTTGAAGTGGTGGAGAGACAATGCACAGTTTGAGCCACTGCTGGTACCCATGGACCGAGCATCTCTCTCTGTCCCAGCAACATCAGTACCAGCAACATCAGTACCAGCAACATCAGTACCAGCAACATCAGTACCAGCAACATCAGTACCAAGCCAGAGAGTTCTTTCCACAGCAGGGGAAAGTCAAAAGAAAATGTAAAAGAAAAATGTTTTCACAATTATTTTCCTTCTTTATTTTTCAATATCGCGATAAATGTCGTACCGTGAGTATTTGGTATCGTTACATCCCTAGTACTCACACTGCAGTATTTGTACCTGTCCAGGTGAAGCAGTACTCACACTGCAGTATTTGTACCTGTCCAGGTGAAGCAGTACTCACACTGCAGTATTTGTACCTGTCCAGGTGAAGCAGTACTCACACTGCAGTATTTGTACCTGTCCAGGTGAAGCAGTACTCACACTGCAGTATTTGTACCTGTCCAGGTGAAGCAGTACTCACACTGCAGTATTTGTACCTGTCCAGGTGAAGCAGTACTCACACTGCAGTATTTGTACCTGTCCAGGTGAAGCAGTACCTGAGCACCAGCTGGCGTTCCAGGCGGAGCTCGGGAACCATCCGAGCTTCCAGGAGATGCAGATCCTCGTCAACAGAAACAAGTTCAGACCCAGATTCCCTGAGAGCTGGAGGAGCAGCAGCCCGGTGAGGGTCTGAGGGTCTGAGGGTCTCTATGGAGTAATACTGCAGTACTGATGTTCTAGTACTGCAGTTATACTGTGTGTGTGTATTAGTAATACTGTGTGTGTAGTACTGGTAGTAGTACCTGTAGTAACCTGTGTGTGTGTAGTATTGTGTGTGTGTAGTACTGGTAGTAGTACCTGTAGTAACCCTGTGTGTGTGTAGTATTGTGTGTGTAGTACTGGTAGTAGTACCTGTAGTAACCTGTGTGTGTGTAGTATTGTGTGTGTAGTACTGGTAGTAGTACCTGTAGTAACCCTGTGTGTTCAGGCGCTGTCCTCCCTGATGGAGACGATGGAGGACTGCTGGGATCCAGACGCTGAGGCTCGACTCACTGCTCAGTGTGCAGAGGAGAGACTGTGTGACCTCACACTGCACAGCCACAGGTACACACACACACACACACACACACACACACACACACACACACACACACACACACACACACACACACACACACACACACACAGTGCAGTGTATTCAGTGTTCTGGTTCCTCAGGATTGGTCCTCCTCCCGTTGGTCCCGCCTCCTCCCAGGATCTGGGCGTGGTTAAAAATCTCCATGGAGACGACTTTGCATCATCTGTCGTCAAAACAACCACGAGTGGAGCAGAGGCATCCGGAAGAAACTCCATCACACACACCGGTGAACACACACACACACGCACGCGCACGCGCACGCACGCACACACACACACACGCACACGCACACGCACACACACACACACACGTGCACACGCACACACACACACACACGCACACACACACACACGCGCACACACACACACACACACACGCACACACACACCCACACACACACACACACACGCGCACACACACACACACACGCACACACACACACGCACACACACACACGCATGCACATGCACACACACACACACACACACACACACACACACACACACACACACACACACACACACACACACACACACCTTGTCCCCCCACAACAAGCCAATGGGATCTCTCCTTTGTATACAGGTTTATATAAACTGATGTATTTCATGTTGTTATCTAATTAAAACACTGAAGATAAAGTCACCCTATTCTGACCTGTACGTCCTCCTGCTGTCCTCCTGCTGTCCCCCTGCTGTCCTCCTCCTGCTGTCCTCCTGCTGTCCTCCTGCTGTCCTCCTGCTGTCCCCCTGCTGTCCTCCTGCTGTCCCCCTGCTGTCCCCTGCTGTCCTCCTGCTGTCCTCCTGCTGTCCTCCTGCTGTCCCCCTGCTGTCCCCCTGCTGTCCTCCTGCTGTCCCCCTGCTGTCCCCCTGCTGTCCTCCTGCTGTCCTCCTGCTGCTGTCCCCCTGCTGTCCCCCTGCTGTCCTCCTGCTGTCCTCCTGCTGTCCTGCTGCTGTCCCCCTGCTGTCCTCCTGCTGTCCTCCTGCTGCTGTCCTCCTGCTGCTGTCCTCCTGCTGTCCCCCTGCTGTCCTCCTGCTGCTGTCCCCCTGCTGTCCCCCTGCTGTCCCCCTGCTGTCCTCCTGCTGTCCTCCTGCTGTCCCCCTGCTGTCCTCCTGCTGTCCTCCTGCTGTCCTCCTGCTGTCCCCCTGCTGTCCTCCTGCTGTCCCCCTGCTGTCCTCCTGCTGTCCTCCTGCTGTCCCCCTGCTGTCCTCCTGCTGCTGTCCCCCTGCTGTCCTCCTGCTGTCCTCCTGCTGTCCCCCTGCTGTCCTCCTGCTGCTGTCCCCCTGCTGTCCTCCTGCTGTCCTCCTGCTGTCCCCCTGCTGTCCTCCTGCTGTCCATGTCCTCCAGGTGGTGCTGTGCCCAGAGTCTGCCTGCAGCGCACACAAGAAGACCTGGAGACCAGCAAGCTGGACCCTGAACAGGTGATCCTCTGTCCTCTGTCCTCTGTCCTCTGTCCTCTGTCCTCTGTCCTCCCCCTCTGAACAGGTGATCCTCTGTCCTCTGTCCTCTGTCCTCCCCCTCTGAACAGGTGATCCTCTGTCCTCTGTCCTCTGTCCTCTGTCCTCCCCCTCTGAACAGGTGATCCTCTGTCCTCTGTCCTCTGTCCTCCCCCTCTGAACAGGTGATCCTCTGTCCTCTGTCCTCTGTCCTCCCCCTCTGAACAGGTGATCCTCTGTCCTCTGTCCTCTGTCCTCTATCCTCTGAACAGGTGATCCTCTGTCCTCTGTCCTCTGTCCTCTGTCCTCTGTCCTCCCCCTCTGAACAGGTGATCCTCTGTCCTCCCCCCCGTCCCACACCACACTAACCTCCCGTCTCTACAGGTGGATCAGAACCTGAACCTGAGTTTTGATGCGAGGGTGATGGAGGAGCACCATCCTGCCGAGCTGCTGAACCATCAGGTCCTGCAGAGTCTGGCTCTTCAGGGGGAACTGGGAGCTGCTGGATCCTCCTCCCTGCACCCCCTCCCCAAACAGCAGAACCTGCCCCAGAGACCCACCAGCCTCCACCTGCAAAACCCGGACCCAGCGTCCTGCCGCCTGAAGCTGGGGAGGCACCGGTCCAACCTCAGACAGGTACAGCAGGGGGGGACCCGGTCCAACCTCAGACAGGTACAGCAGGGGGGGACCCGGTCCAACCTCAGACAGGTACAGCAGGGGGGGACCCGGTCCAACCTCAGACAGGTACAGGTACAGCAGGGGGGGACCCGGTCCAACCTCAGACAGGTACAGCAGGGGGGGACCCGGTCCAACCTCAGACAGGTACAGCAGGGGGGGACCCGGTCCAACCTCAGACAGGTACAGCAGGGGGGGACCCGGTCCAACCTCAGACAGGTACAGGTACAGCAGGGGGGGACCCGGTCCAACCTCAGACAGGTACAGTAGGGGGGGACCCGGTCCAACCTCAGACAGGTACAGGTACAGCAGGGGGGGACCCGGTCATCTTACATGGTCTGTGGGAGGGGTAGAAACCAAAGACCTGTGAGGGTGGGCGTCTGATTCGTCGCTGGTTTTAGAGGCGGTCTTTCCGTCTCCTAGATTGAAAGATTCAAAGGCTTTATCTGCAGCCAAAGACTGGACGAAGGGGGGTCCTTGGGAGTTCCTGGTTTGAGGGTTTACAGCTCCTGGTCCTTTCTTTATCCTTGAGGAGTCCCTCTCTCTGACCCTTATGACCCTCATGTTGTTATCGAACAGGCCTTCAGGTGGAACTGATCCACCTTTACTGATTCAGAGTCAGAATGACCCTAACCCTTTACTGATTCAGGGTCCCAGTCAGAAAGCCCCTAACCCTTTACTGATTCAGAGTCAGAATGCCCCTAACCCTTTACTGATTCAGGGTCCCAGTCAGAATGCCCCTAACCCTTTACTGATTCAGGGTCCCAGTCAGAATGCCCCTAACCCTTTACTGATTCAGAGTCCCAGTCAGAATGCCCCTAACCCTTTACTGATTCAGGGTCCCAGTCAGAATGCCCCTAACCCTTTACTGATTCAGGGTCCCAGTCAGAAAGCCCCTAACCCTTTACTGATTCAGAGTCAGAATGCCCCTAACCCTTTACTGATTCAGGGTCCCAGTCAGAATGCCCCTAACCCTTTACTGATTCAGGGTCCCAGTCAGAATGCCCCTAACCCTTTACTGATTCAGAGTCCCAGTCAGAATGCCCCTAACCCTTTACTGATTCAGGGTCCCAGTCAGAATGCCCCTAACCCTTTACTGATTCAGGGTCCCAGTCAGAATGCCCCTAACCCGCAGACGGGACGTTCACATCGTCTCAGCAACAGATAGAGACAAAAGTCAAACATGAGTAAATAAAGGCACGTCATATTAAAATAAAGAAATACACGATTAGAATTACAGAAGTATATGAGTTATTTACAGAGTGATGTTACAGTCCTGATCCTGAACCTCAGGTGAGTCTCTGAGGTGAGTCCTGATCCTGAACCTCAGGTGAGTCTCTGAGGTGAGTCCTGATCCTGAACCTCAGGTGAGTCTCTGAGGTGAGTCCTGATCCTGAACCTCAGGTGAGTCTCTGAGGTGAGTCCTGATCCTGAACCTCAGGTGAGTCTCTGAGGTGAGTCCTGATCCTGAACCTCAGGTGAGTCTCTGAGGTGAGTCCTGATCCTGAACCTCAGGTGAGTCTCTGAGGTGAGTCCTGATCCTGAACTTCAGGTAAACTTCTGTGTTTCAGGTGGAGACCGGCGTCGCTAAGATGAACACGGTAACGGTCGCCACGGCTACGGAGCCCCACCAGGTAACCACGGTGACAAAGACCAGCGTCGCCCACGGTTACAGTGCAGGGGTCCCCGTCCTGGTGGTGAACTCTGTGGTGCTGATGGAGGACGAGGAGAACCGGACCAACCCGCTGAACCCGAGTCCTGATGAACACGCCCCCCTGCTGAGGAGGGACTCAGACCTGCATCAGGCCTCAGAGACCAGATCTAACGTCAACAACAACAACAACAACAACAACAGGATCCAGCCTCAGGGTCTTAGACCTGAACCACATCTGGAGAGCCAGTCCTCTAAACCTGAACCCCATCTAGAGAGCCAGTCCTCCTCTAAACCTGAACCCCATCTGGAGAGCCAGTCCTCTAAACCTGAAACACATCTAGAGAGCCAGTCCTCTAAACCTGAACCACATCTAGAGAGCCAGTCCTCTAAACCTGAACCACATCTAGAGAGCCAGTCCTCTAAACCTGAACCACATCTAGAGAGTCAGTCCTCTAAACCTGAACCACATCTAGAGAGTCAGTCCTCTAAACCTGAACCACATCTAGAGAGTCAGTCCTCCTCTAAACCTGAACCCCATCTGGAGAGTCAGTCCTCTAAACCTGAACCACATCTAGAGAGTCAGTCCTCTAAACCTGAACCACATCTAGAGAGTCAGTCCTCTAAACCTGAACCCCATCTGGAGAGTCAGTCCTCTAAACCTGAACCCCATCTAGAGAGTCAGTCCTCTAAACCTGAACCACATCTAGAGAGTCAGTCCTCTAAACCTGAACCCCATCTGGAGAGTCAGTCCTCTAAACCTGAACCCCATCTGGAGAGTCAGTCCTCTAAACCTGAACCCCATCTGGAGAGTCAGTCCTCTAAACCTGAACCCCATCTGGAGAGTCAGTCCTCTAAACCTGAACCCCATCTGGACTCCGAACTGGGCCCCTGTGTCCTGAGATCCCTTTGTATAGCACCAGTTCTTGTGCCGGTCTGCAGAGATCCAGATCCTGGCTCAGCAAAACCTCCAGGAGCAACCTCTTCCTCCAGAGCCAGACCCTCAGCTGCCCAGAACCTGGATCCAGCCCCAGGAGATCCAGAACCTGCAGCTTTCGGGTCTTTAGAGGATCTGGAGAGCACAGAAGCTCCAGCTCTAGAACCTGCAGGTCTACGAGAGAGACCCTGGTCCCTGGACCTGTCCTCCAGCGGCCTCCTCTCAGGTCAGTACACATTCAAAAGACATCAACTTCTATTGTTTGTATAAACATTCATCTTGTTTCCATATGAGTTGGTGTTTAGCCTGAAGAAGAACATGATCACTGCGGCCTCAGCGAGCTGTACTCATTGAGTCCCGATCGGCACTGCTTTTAAATCCAGGATTTACTTTGAGGTTATAGATCTGATGGTGATGCTTTTTATCAACGTCAATGGAAAAGCTTCACGTGTAAAAATGTATGGATCGAGTTCTCTAAGAAAAGCTTTCTGTTTCTCTGACAGATAGCAGTCTGAAGATAAAGCGCCGTGTGAAGACTCCCTACACCCTGAAGAAGTGGCGTCCGGCCTCCTGGGGCGCTCCCTCTGAAGCCACTTCCTCCTGGGGCGCTCCCTCTGAAGCCACTTCCTCCTGGGGCGTTCCCTCTGAAGCCACTTCCTCCTGGGGCGTTCCCTCTGAAGCCACTTCCTCCTGGGGCGTTCCCTCTGAAGCCACTTCCTCCTGGGGCGCTCCCTCTGAAGCCACTTCCTCCTGGGGCGCTCCCTCTGAAGCCACTTCCTCCTGGGGCGCTCCCTCTGAAGCCACTTCCTGCTGGGAGTTCAGCCGCCAGAGAGCAGGAAGCGTCTCCAGGGTCCGTCCGTCCAGAGCCACGACCTCTGACCCCAACTCCTGCTTCTAACCATGGACGTTTAATAACAACTGGATACAGCGTTGGAGGCGGGGCTTGATCATTCCTTTGAGAGCTGCTCATTGGCGCATGAGGACAAAATGGACTGACATTTTAGAGAGCAAAACGTCACAAATTACCCATCATGCCTTGCTGTCAGAGCAGAATAACCGTATGTAGCTCATAGAGCGGAGTTGAGTTTCCCCTTAAGCCCCGCCTCCTGTCATTAAGCCCCACCCCCTGCCATTAAGCTCCACCCCCAGAGCGCCCACTTTCGGCTCACTAGAATGAATGGAGAGAGAAAATAAATCTAGATTTGGCTTTTAGTGCATTTTACAACTTTAAGGACCGAATGATTCTAATAAAGGCTATAAATAGTGCATTCTGGGTAGTTTATTTAGTTTAAAAAAAAGTATCCGCTGAATTACAGACGTTTCTTTCCCAATGTTAGTCAAGTTAGAAAGTCTTTCTGGCTCAGTGACGTCACGCACTGATACGAACATTGTAGTACCGCCATTTGGCCACTAGGAATATTTCCCTCAGAGTCCGGAGCACTTCTTGGGGCTTGGTTCTAACGTCCATCAGGAGCGGATCTTTTTACTTCTCTTTTATTGTGAAACACGAAAATAACAGACTGAGGTGAATTATATTATATTGGAGGACAGGAAGTGCCCCAAACCTATTCCTTTCTTATAGTTACTGACCACTTTTACATAAAATAAATACTCCAGTTTCTGGCCAAAAAAGGCAGTATTCCTACCAAGCTGTTTCTAAATGAATAAATCACTAATATTCCTGTTTATATGAAGACTGCATGGAGTGAAGCAGGGACGTGTCTGTGTTGGTCCCTGAAGGCAGCATCTCCCTGGACCAATGGGATTCCTCATTTTGGATTATGTCAGAAAATAATCAAACAAACGTTTATGATACTTACACTTTTAGTTCAGTAGGATAATCTCCACATATTAACACCACTATGATTTCTGAAGTAAAAAGCTAATGTTGGGCTACAAAGGAACTACAGCACGGTCACATGACATCACCACCGCTAAGCTAAAGGCGGCTAATGTTGGGCTACAAAGGAACTACAGCACGGTCACATGACTTCACCACCGCTAAGCTAAAGGCGGCTAATGTTGCGCTATAAAGAAACTACAGCACGGTCACATGACTTCACATCACCACCGCTAAGCTAAAGGTGGCTAATGTTGCGCTATAAAGAAACTACAGCACGGTCACATGACTTCACATCACCACCGCTAAGCTAAAGGCGGCTAATGTTGCGCTATAAAGAAACTATAGCACGGTCACATGACTTCACATCACCACCGCTAAGCTAAAGGCGGCTAATGTTGGGCTACAAAGGAACTACTGCACGGTCACATGACATCACCACCGCTAAGCTAAAGGAGGCTAATGTTGGGCTACAAAGGAACTACAGCACGGTCACATGACTTCACCACCGCTAAGCTAAAGGCGGCTAATGTTGCGCTATAAAGAAACTACAGCACGGTCACATGACTTCACATCACCACCGCTAAGCTAAAGGTGGCTAATGTTGCGCTATAAAGAAACTACAGCACGGTCACATGACTTCACATCACCACCGCTAAGCTAAAGGCGGCTAATGTTGCGCTATAAAGAAACTATAGCACGGTCACATGACTTCACATCACCACCGCTAAGCTAAAGGCGGCTAATGTTGCGCTATAAAGAAACTACAGCACGGTCACATGACTTCACGTCACCACCGCTAAGCTAAAGGAGGCTAATGTTGGGCTATAAAGGAACTGCAGCACGGTCACATGACTTCACGTCACCACCGCTAAGCTAAAGGAGGCTAATGTTGGGCTATAAAGAAACTACAGCACGGTCACATGACTTCACATCACCACCGCTAAGCTAAAGGTGGCTAATGTTGGGCTATAAAGGAACTACAGCACGGTCACATGACTTCACGTCACCACCGCTAAGCTAAAGGAGGCTAATGTTGGGCTATAAAGGAACTACAGCACGGTCACATGACTTCACGTCACCACCGCTAAGCTAAAGGAGGCTAATGTTGGGCTATAAAGAAACTACAGCACGGTCACATGACTTCACATCACCACCGCTAAGCTAAAGGAGGCTAATGTTGGGCTATAAAAGGAACTACAGCACGGTCACATGACTTCACATCACCACCGCTAAGCTAAAGGTGGCTAATGTTGGGCTATAAAGGAACTACAGCACGGTTACATGACTTCACATCACCACCGCTAAGCTAAAGGAGGCTAATGTTGGGTGTGATGACGTTTAGTCGTCTCATTTAGACTCTTGTTAGCAACCTCTGTTCTTTAACCCACCAATGGGGTATTTACTGATGTATTTTATGTGGTAGTAACAAAACGTTAAAATGTCTTCAGCTCGTGTTAACCACAGACCTGATTTAAAGCTAACAACCAGAAACACATTCAGAAATCATTGACCTCCAGACCAGGGGACAGGAAGTGATGCTGACTCATGGCAGGGTGTAGAACTCTAGATCTGTAGAACATTGTATAGTTATTATCTGATGGATTATTTACACACATTATCATTATTTAAACGTGGGGTAGGTAAGTTTGAGAAACCGGCTCGAGATACACTTGTTGTTATATTCCATGGAATGCTCTTAACATCCAGATAGCAGTGAATATCTGAAGTGCTTTGACAACAAATCCATAAAGAAATATCATCTGTGGAAGCTGTAGTACTGTGAAAAGCACGACCAATCATCTGAGCCGGCCCGGCTAAAGTAACTGGATGGCCTACCTGCCTGTCAGCCTTCCATCTGTGCACAAACTTATCTCGTGCCCTCATTGGTCATGTGCACGTTCGTGTGTGTTGGAGGAGGGGCTCTATAAGGAAGTGGCAGATTTTCTCCGGTTGTGTATTTTCAAATTCTAGCGATCTCGAGCCGGTTTCTCAAACTTACCTACCCCACCTTTAAGCATTTTAAAATAATTTTGACAAAAAACCGTATAAAGGTGCAATCACATTAAACCTTAATTCAAAGTTCCATTTAAAGCTTGACTCCAGCTATGCACTGGAGAATCACTGTTGCTTATGTGCTTTTATTTTGAAAGTATTTGAATATGAGCGGCTTAAAGTTAGTCAAAAACTCATAATGCTTCACACGTAAAGAAGAAAGTGACTTTAAGCTAATGTGTGAATAAGTTAGAGTTATTTTGTGAATTAAAGAATTTAACAAGATGTTGGTAGGAAAAAAAAAGAATATAAATATATATATATGATAAAATAATACTGTACATGGAGGGGGGGATAACAGATGAGAGAACACAAAGTCAAATATTACCCAGATAGAAAGCTAAAGTAAAGAGTCCCTATTCTTATTTTTAGTGTTCCCTATCCTTTAGTGAGTTCTATAGGTTTTTGTGCATTTAACATGCAGGAGAGGACTCTTTAAAGTAGAGACACTACATACTGATATACACCTGAACATCAACAGGAGAGGACTCTTTAAAGTAGAGACACTACATACTGATATACACCTGAACATCAGCAGGAGAGGACTCTTTAAAGTAGAGACACTACATACTGATATACACCTGAACATCAGCAGGAGAGGACTCTTTAAAGTAGAGACACTACATACTGATATACACCTGAACATCAGCAGGAGAGGACTCTTTAAAGTAGAGACACTACATACTGATATACACCTGAACATCAGCAGGAGAGGACTCTTTAAAGTAGAGACACTACATACTGATATACACCTGAACATCAGCAGAAGAGGACTCTTTAAAGTAGAGACACTACATACTGATATACACCTGAACATCAGCAGGAGAGGACTCTTTAAAGTAGAGACACTACATACTGATATACACCTGAACATCAGCAGGAGAGCACTCTTTAAAGTAGAGACACTACATACTGATATACACCTGAACATCAGCAGGAGAGGACTCTTTAAAGTAGAGACACTACATACTGATATACACCTGAACATCAGCAGGAGAGGACTCTTTAAAGTAGAGACACGACATACTGATATACACCTGAACATCAGCAGGAGAGGACTCTTTAAAGTAGAGACACGACATACTGATATACACCTGAACATCAGCAGGAGAGGACTCTTTAAAGTAGAGACACGACATACTGATATACACCTGAACATCAGCAGGAGAGGACTCTTTAAAGTAGAGACACTCCATACTGATATACACCTGAACATCAGCAGGAGAGGACTCTTTAAAGTAGAGACACTACATACTGATATACACCTGAACATCAGCAGGAGAGGACTCTTTAAAGTAGAGACACTACATACTGATATACACCTGAACATCAGCAGGAGAGGACTCTTTAAAGTAGAGACACTACATACTGATATACACCTGAGCATCAGCAGGAGAGGACTCTTTAAAGTAGAGACACTACATACTGATATACACCTGAACATCAGCAGGAGAGGACTCTTTAAAGTAGAGACACTACATACTGATATACACCTGAACATCAGCAGGAGAGGACTCTTTAAAGTAGAGACACTACATACTGATATACACCTGAACATCAGCAGGAGAGGACTCTTTAAAGTAGAGACACGACATACTGATATACACCTGAACATCAGCAGGAGAGGACTCTTTAAAGTAGAGACACTCCATACTGATATACACCTGAACATCAGCAGGAGAGGACTCTTTAAAGTAGAGACACTACATACTGATATACACCTGAACATCAGCAGGAGAGGACTCTTTAAAGTAGAGACACTACATACTGATATACACCTGAACATCAGCAGGAGAGGACTCTTTAAAGTAGAGACACTACATACTGATATACACCTGAGCATCAGCAGGAGAGGACTCTTTAAAGTAGAGACACTACATACTGATATACACCTGAACATAAGCAGGAGAGGACTCTTTAAAGTAGAGACACTCCATACTGATATACACCTGAACATCAGCAGGAGAGGACTCTTTAAAGTAGAGACACTACATACTGATATACACCTGAACATCAGCAGGAGAGGACTCTTTAAAGTAGAGACACGACATACTGATATACACCTGAACATCAGCAGGAGAGGACTCTTTAAAGTAGAGACACTACATACTGATATACACCTGAACATCAGCAGGAGAGGACTCTTTAAAGTAGAGACACTACATACTGATATACACCTGAACATCAGCAGGAGAGGACTCTTTAAAGTAGAGACACTACATACTGATATACACCTGAACATCAGCAGGAGAGGACTCTTTAAAGTAGAGACACTACATACTGATATACACCTGAACATCAGCAGGAGAGGACTCTTTAAAGTAAAGTAGAGACACTACATACTGATATACACCTGAACATCAGCAGGAGAGGACTCTTTAAAGTAAAGTAGAGACACTACATACTGATATACACCTGAACATCAGCAGGAGAGGACTCTTTAAAGTAGAGACACTACATACTGATGTACACCTGAACATCAGCAGGAGAGGACTCTTTAAAGTAGAGACACTACATACTGATATACACCTGAACATCAGCAGGAGAGGACTCTTTAAAGTAGAGACACTACATACTGATATACACCTGAACATCAGCAGGAGAGGACTCTTTAAAGTAGAGACACTACATACTGATATACACCTGAACATCAGCAGGAGAGGACTCTTTAAAGTAGAGACACTACATACTGATATACACCTGAACATCAGCAGGAGAGGACTCTTAAAGTAGAGACACTACATACTGATATACACCTGAACATCAGCAGGAGAGGACTCTTTAAAGTAGAGACACTACATACTGATATACACCTGAACATCAGCAGGAGAGGACTCTTTAAAGTAGAGACACTACATACTGATATACACCTGAACATCAGCAGGAGAGGACTCTTTAAAGTAGAGACACTACATACTGATATACACCTGAACATCAGCAGGAGAGGACTCTTTAAAGTAGAGACACTACATACTGATATACACCTGAACATCAGCAGGAGAGGACTCTTTAAAGTAGAGACACTACATACTGATATACACCTGAACATCAGCAGGAGAGGACTCTTTAAAGTAGAGACACTACATACTGATATACACCTGAACATCAGCAGGAGAGGACTCTTTAAAGTAAAGTAGAGACACTACATACTGATATACACCTGAACAGCAGCAGGAGAGGACTCTTTAAAGTAGAGACACTACATACTGATGTACACCTGAACATCAGCAGGAGAGGACTCTTTAAAGTAGAGACACTACATACTGATGTACACCTGAACATCAGCAGGAGAGGACTCTTTAAAGTAGAGACACTACATACTGATATACACCTGAACATCAGCAGGAGAGGACTCTTTAAAGTAGAGACACTACATACTGATATCACCTGAACATCAGCAGGAGAGGACTCTTTAAAGTAGAGACACTACATACTGATATACACCTGAACATCAGCAGGAGAGGACTCTTTAAAGTAGAGACACTACATACTGATATACACCTGAACATCAGCAGGAGGGGACTCTTTAAAGTAGAGACACTACATACTGATATACACCTGAACATCAGCAGGAGAGGACTCTTTAAAGTAGAGACACTACATACTGATATACACCTGAACATCAGCAGGAGAGGACTCTTTAAAGTAGAGACACTACATACTGATATACACCTGAACATCAGCAGGAGAGGACTCTTTAAAGTAGAGACACTACATACTGATATACACCTGAACATCAGCAGGAGAGGACTCTTTAAAGTAGAGACACTACATACTGATATACACCTGAACATCAGCAGGAGAGGACTCTTTAAAGTAGAGACACTACATACTGATATACACCTGAACATCAGCAGGAGAGGACTCTTTAAAGTAGAGACACTACATACTGATATACACCTGAACATCAGCAGGAGAGGACTCTTTAAAGTAGAGACACTACATACTGATATACACCTGAACATCAGCAGGAGAGGACTCTTTAAAGTAGAGACACTACATACTGATATACACCTGAACATCAGCAGGAGAGGACTCTTTAAAGTAGAGACACTACATACTGATATACACCTGAACATCAGCAGGAGAGGACTCTTTAAAGTAGAGACACTACATACTGATATACACCTGAACATCAGCAGGAGAGGACTCTTTAAAGTAGAGACACTACATACTGATATACACCTGAACATCAGCAGGAGAGGACTCTTTAAAGTAGAGACACTACATACTGATATACACCTGAACATCAGCAGGAGAGGACTCTTTAAAGTAGAGACACTACATACTGATATACACCTGAACATCAGCAGGAGAGGACTCTTTAAAGTAGAGACACTACATACTGATATACACCTGAACATCAGCAGGAGAGGACTCTTTAAAGTAGAGACACTACATACTGATATACACCTGAACATCAGCAGGAGAGGACTCTTTAAAGTAGAGACACTACATACTGATATACACCTGAACATCAGCAGGAGAGGACTCTTTAAAGTAGAGACACTACATACTGATATACACCTGAACATCAGCAGGAGAGGACTCTTTAAAGTAGAGACACTACATACTGATATACACCTGAACATCAGCAGGAGAGGACTCTTTAAAGTAGAGACACTACATACTGATATACACCTGAACATCAGCAGGAGAGGACTCTTTAAAGTAGAGACACTACATACTGATATACACCTGAACATCAGCAGGAGAGGACTCTTTAAAGTAGAGACACTACATACTGATATACACCTGAACATCAGCAGAAGGACTCTTTAAAGTAGAGACACTACATACTGATATACACCTGAACATCAGCAGGAGAGGACTCTTTAAAGTAGAGACACTACATACTGATATACACCTGAACACAGCAGAGGAGAGGACTCTTTAAAGTAGAGACCACTACATACTGATACACCCTGAACATCAGCAGGAGAGGACTCTTTCAATTAGAGACAACTA